GATATTTATTGAATTCAAATTGAAAATCATTCATTATTTAATGCGTGCTAAATTGTAGGGTTATTTATTTAATTCAAATTCAAATTGCATACACGTCTTGAAGCCATAAAAATCGGACCATGATTATTGGGGCAGCTCACTTTTTATGTTTATTTCAATCATCATTTAATGCGTGCAAAATTGTTGGGTTTTGGTTTGGATATTGTTCTTAGTGTTAGCACAATATTTATTGAATTCAAACTGCAAACACGTCTTTAATTTCTAATTATAACTATAAATAAATATATTATTTACGTTAAATAATAATATTTTTTAAAAAAATTATTTTTCACCTATCTAATTATGAATATTTTTTAAAAAATATTATTAACACATAATATTTATATAGACTTATAATATTTTAGATACTTTAAACAACTTGTTTAGACATATTGTTTTACATCTATTACTATATAATACAGTTAAGAAAAAATCATGAAAAAAATCGAAAATTAATTGTCATTTTTCCTGCTCAAATGTTTATTTTCTCCTCAAATTTTATTTGAAATATTTGGCTAACGTTTTCGAAATTCCACTTCCTTTTTACATTGTTTGACCCCGAATCCTCTGTAATTTATAATTATTAAGTATTGTTTATTATCCTCTTTAATTTATAATTTTTTTTTTCTTTCTCTTTTTAAATAAGATCAATAGTAGGTTTCCACTTCCGCCATTGAGTGACTCAAATTCGAGGTCTATTTATAATATTGTTAATTTAATATTGCCCCGTGCATCGCACGGGGTATACATTAGTTTATTTATGGATATGTTTAGTATTTTTTCAAACATGATGATAAATTGAAGAAAACATGATGATGTTTTGGCATTTGATGAATGTTTTTAGAACCTGATGAATGGGTTGAGACTAATGATGAGTATTGGTTTATTATGTTGATATAGAACCTGATGACTTGGTTTGATTTTGGTGTTGATTATGTCATGATGATATTTCTATGATGAAAATGATTATGATGCTTGGATAATAATATCCCTTGTGAAAAACTAGGTAATGAATTCCATCAGTTCAGATACGACTTGAATATGTGAAATGAATGAGTAACGCCAATAAATGTTTTAAATCGAAAAATGAATTTTGAAAATTTAACTGTGAATTTTTTGGAAAAGTCCAGATTTCTTTAAAAATCAACGGGGCGTTATAGCATGGTATCAGAGTAGGTCTACGAGTCTGCAGACTGCTTTATGTGAATTATGTCCTTATGTGAATTTGTAAAATGACCACTCGTCTTCGTCATGCCGCGTCAGCTCAAGGTAAGTGTTTATGTAACACCCCGCTTATCAGAGTAAATTTTTCGCAACTTTTACTTCGAATATACTTAACTCTTTTGAAATCTTTTGCGACTAACTCGGGATGCAACTCAAACTTATCATCTTAAAAATCCGTTTATCTTTAAACTTTTTGTCTAATACTTCTTTAGACATAATTAAAACAGATTTTCTTTAAACTTGCATTTAAAATACCATAATCATATTTCTCATAATGGTAAAAACTTGAAATTTGAAATTCATTAAAATGCAAGTTCAAGTCTCAATATGCGTAGCGGAAATACTTGAAAACGTAGTTAATTATACAGACTGTTTTAAATGTCCGTATCAAAGCTTGTCTTCATCTGAATCCACGATCCACACCAACACTGCTCCACTCACACCTCCTCTTCGACCTGTTACCTGAAA